CTTCTTTCTCGTTTCGGATGAATAAAGAATCTAAATGGAATAAAGTGAGATTTTATTGTTGGAAGACAAGCGATGGTGAAAATGATGTAGTAAATTAATATATTTAATCTGTGACACATTTAAGGACGCAGAATGAAGATAAGTTCATTAAAGGTAGAGGTTAGGACAAGAATATGGTTCTTCCTGATAATCTGGGGTGAACAGGGTRGTCTGTTATGACTGAGCGGGATGTGATGATGACGATAGAGCCATGAGGTCGGAGTGATGGCAGATTCCTTTACTCCTGCTCAGAAACACAGAGCAGCTTGTAAATATTTCAGTTTATGGGTAGAGTTGGCTTCACACAGAGAAGGGAAGCAGGTGTAGCGTTGCATTCACTTTCTCCTGTTACATTCAGCTGAAACGGACCCCTGCATGGCTGTTAACTGTTTAGTGAAAGGAAGTTGTTAGCATCAGACAGTTTTGGTTAGTAAAAGATAGCAGGAAAGTCAGAGAACCTGCAATATTCATATGCATTTTCACTTTACCTGTTATTTGAAATGATAAAAATTTAAGAACAATAACAGACAATACAACCAGGTTTGGTTTGGGGCCAAATTTGACAACTTTGAAGAGCAAAACAGTGAAATAAGTGTCAACTCCTTGTTAAACAGTTTAGAATATTCAGAATGTGTTGTAAAGGGAAGATAAAATAAAAAAAATGGGTTAAATATTTAGCTTTTCCATATCATATTCCAATAGTGTTTTTTAGTTATAAAATTTCAAGGGAATAAATCTCCTTTTTTTGCAGCTATCACCACAAAAACCCAAGCAATTCATACCATTTATAAACTGCCAAGTACAATAACTGTTCAAGCTGCTTCAGAGGGTAAAAAAAAAGAAGGAAGTACTACTATTCACATTAAATATATAGAGGAGACTACAAGAAATAATTCAGATTCCTGTACATATCAACAATGCATATATTACAATACAGAATATTTACGTTTCCCCTCTGGAAATCTTGGGAAACAGTGTCTGAGAGGTGGGAACAGTTAAAAACAAACGACCAGAATCAGATTCTTCAAATCTGCTGGCTTTTCAGAAACATTTTGGAGCAGTTTAATAATGTGTATTTTTTTTCTTAGAGATCAAGGCTAACATGGATCAGATCAGAGTGTTATTTTCTACAAACTTTTCTTTGTTTTTTTTCTTCTCTCTCTTTGCTGAAAGTCTACTATCCGAGTCCAGTGATGACGTGTCAACCTGAGTGTCCGTGGTCCCTCTGTAGAATCCGTCCACACCGGTGTCTGCAGCACAGCTCTGTCTTTTGATTTCAAGCGTGACGTCCGGGTGAGCACAAGCAGTGAGTGTGTGTCAGCACCATTTTGGGAGCGGTGACGACAGGCCAGGAGGAGGAGGGACGCCGGGTCCCAAACGTTCCTTATTGTTATCTGAGCTGAGGCATTGCGCCGTCAGCCTCTGCACTCATGGGCCCTGAGTTTGCTCGCTTTTTGAAGTGGTTGCAATCATCAAGAAAACTCTCTCCAATTGGGATGATAAAGATGGGTGAAGGAAACGTGGCGAGGCTGTGGGTTTGTTGTTTGTCCTCAGCGTTGCTTAAGAGTTTCCTGTTTACGTTCCTGCTGCGACTGAACGTCCGTCTCTGCACGGCAGAGAGAACACCTTCCAGGCTTTGGTTTGGAATCATCAAAGCACGTGTGTGTGTCTGTAACTGCATACGCATGCACGCTTATAAACTGTGTGTTAGTATATCTGTGCACGCTTGTGTGTTTCTAATAGATGCCGTTCTCGCAGCATTATTCCCAGATGTTTGGAAAACCATTTAGTGTCCAATTTTAACTCAAGAACAGCTCATCCTGGGCAGCATTCTGAACATTTCAACCACTGTTTTTTATTAAATAAAAGATAACCATAAAAGTAACAAGTGACGTGAGCAGCATTAGGAGTCACTGGTGGAATGACACAAACAGTCACCGCTACGCACGCCACCGTCTCCAGCCTGTCCAACATGTAAATAACATCCAAGTCCCAAACAGGATCTCCAAGCGTACACAAGACCTGGAAAAAAAAAAAAAAAAAAAAAAAACGACGTATGTTACAAAAAAATCTAAAACATATCAGCTTGACAAAATAAAAACACCACATTTAACAATTATAAAAAAAATTGAATCAATCATGACCTCAGTGACAAGAAGAGGCAGGTAAAAGATAATGGATGGATGGATGGATTTTAAAATCGGTATTGTACAACTTTCCAGTAATTCTATAGAAAACCCTTCACAGCACTGATCCTGCTGATAATCATCACCAAATGTCTGGGCTGCTTTGTCTTTTAATTTCAAGCATGTCTCTTGAAATAAAATTCTTTAATTTAAATTCTTTAAATTTCCTGTTCGGACTCATTCTGAGTTCTGCCTCCACCAATAACTATCATGGCTACAGTGAAAATGTTTCACCCCACAGTCCTTTACAGACAGAAGACAAAATTTACTAAAAGGAAAAGTTTTGGTGCCAATGCAACAGAGAAAAAAACAAAATAGCTTTATTTTGTCATCCAGGGTAGAAATCTTTCATGGGATCATAAATCATTTTTGAACCATTTTGTATTATTTTGGGAGCACACCGTTTACTCATCCGATACCTTTTAAAATGTAGAAATGGCAATTTTTTCATCCCCTATAGTTTAAAAAGAATCTCTGAATTGTGCGTTATTGTCTGTAAAACAAATCCAAACTCTTTACAAACAGGACAGGATGATGATACATAACAAAGAATCATTATGATGCTGATATTTCTGCTTTGAGATGCCTGCTTCCTGGACACTAAATAAAATGACGTTGTCTGTGTGAATGTGGAAAAGAAGTGTTTGTTAATGGAAATACATAAAGTAGAAAAATGCTGAGGATGAAAAAAAGACAGAAAGAAAAGAGCTGAACAGAAGTAGACAAATGCAAAACAGAAACAGGTGAACCAGAGTCAAATAATTCTTACTATTATATTATTAATATAATATTTCATAGTTATTTTTGTTTAAAAATAAAACTACATTCGATGAGATCATATTTTTTTAAGTATTCTCAGGTTTTAAAGTCTGAAGCACCTGCTGTAGAGTTTTAAATTAATAACCCCCTTTTTGACCAAGGTCCAGAAATAAAGAAAGTGGTGGTTTGGAGGGAAAGACGGCTGGACTCACCTCTGCTACAGGACAGCCTAAAGACTTCAAGGCCAGAGGATGAAGGCAAGAGAAAAGAACAAGAATAGAAAGAGAAACTAGAGGCAGGAAGAGAAGGAAGGAACAAATCATGTGAGAGAGTTAAACATTTTGAGATACTGGATGTTAGTAACAACAGGAACAAAAACWTGTTCATTATAGAAAATCATCATCTCTGAAGAGAGTCAGTAAAAAGACTCCATTCAGCATAAGTGTAAAACGTTTTTAAAGATGTGTGCAGCAACAAGTGGTTGTATAAGAATATAATGCACATTTTGCTCTGAATAAAAWCATCCGTGCATGGATGAATTAAGTTTTATTTGTTTGTCTTAAAGAAAKGCATCAGTCACATCCTACCTTTTCCTCTAAGTCTTTAATCTGCCTCCTTTGGATTTCTGTCTTGTCCTCAAGATCACGAATCCTCTGCAATTTTTTTAGAGAAAACAGACATGTTAGTTTAAACATACATCCACAAAGCTTTGCTGTGTTATGACTGCAGAGGCAGCCGGACCTGGTGGGCCTGGTGCAGCAGCTCCATCCTCTCCTGGAGGATCTGGCAGTCRTACTCTCGACTCTTCCTCAGCATCTGCCTCCGAAGCTTCTCCACCGCCATTCGCAGCTCATCCTTCTGAAGCTCATTCAGAGGCTCATCATATTTTATCACCTGGTGGGAGGAGATCGATTTATTTGTCCCTTTCTAAACTGTCTAAAGCAGTTTTCTTAACTCTGAGGCTGTGATGAAATACAGAACGTTAAAAAACCTTGTCCTGCTGCAGAGCGTTGTATAAAGTCGCTTCCAACTCCTGGATTTGCTGTTGAGATATAAGAACAGGGGGGCTGTTATTAGTTTAGATATCACAAATAAAACCTCAATTTATATTTTAACATATTTACACCTGTGTCTTTTACTAAACATTCAAATCACCATGGGCGTAATTTGTGGGGGGTTTAGGGTGGTTATGACCTCCACAGTAATCTGATCCAGTCAATATAACCTTCCCAAATATTATATTTTTTTGGTATAACACAATACAAATTAACAGGTTAAGTGCACAGATGCACAATACAAAGTAAATACATACTAAGTGAGAAATAGGTATGTTGTAAAATATATCCTGAAATTGTAAAATATTTGTTATGGTCAGAAAAATGGGTGAAAAAGAAGTCACCCTTTACTTAATTTGAACAGAAAAGATGCAGCGTAAATACAAAGAAAAGAGGAAAGTTAAGTAAATCACAGTAAAAGTATTACAATGTATTTTAACCCCCAAATACCCTAAATCATTTTAAAAAAGTAAATCATTCAATAAATAAATAAACAGACTGAGAGCATAACCCCCCCATGGTAGAACTAAAGTTACGCCCTTGCAAATCATAACAAGCAGATAATGTCCTAAAATAAAAATACAGCGAACTTCTAAAAACATTGGCAATGATGTGTCCAGGTTTGGTTTATGAAAGTATGTTTACCATGTAGGCTTGATCCAGAGCCTGTTTTCTGTAGTCCAGCTCTTCTTCCAGGTATCCTTTCTGTTTACAGAACATTTCCTGTACACAGTGAGAGGATGGACAACAGTGAGAAGAAAATCATTTTAAGTATTTTCACCCTCTTTGATCTTTGGTCAAAATTACACGAGGTGCATCATGGGTAACAGTTTTTATGACCTACCATCTCAATCTCCAGGTCCATCATCTTCTGATGAAGCGCTGCTTCGGTCCCTTCTATCTGCTGGATCCACTAGAGGGCGACATGCAGCACAGTCCTCAGTCCCAGCTGCACAGACCCCTCGCCTCTAATATGGCACGATCATGTTTGGTAAATCCTTTTCTTACCTTTTCTGCTAGTGACAACACAGTGCTAGCCTGGATAATAGCCACTTGCTCCTCATTCCTCAAGTTCTGTACAAAAACAAAACAATTTCTTATTTAATGGCATCCCTGTTTTAGTGGAGCAGGCCAGTAAATTAGGTTAAACATTAATTACCCCGTTGTCTCCGAGGATGTCTAGTAGTTTGATGAGGTCTGGTATGCACACGTCCTGTGAAATAAACCAAAAAAAAATTATCTTAGCTTTTAACTACTTTTGATAGCTTTGTTTTGCTTGAGAGAAAAGAGCACCTAATAATTACACACCTTGACCCCTTCCTTCATACAGTAGATCTGCAGTGCGCTGACTCCTTCAGAGAATGGATGCATCCTCAGATGGTTGAACGGAGGGGATCTTCTTTCACGCTCCTGAAACAAAATACATAATTCACTAACAAAAAATAATGCTTGATCTATTTTTTAGCATAGGTCTAATGGGAAAAATACCAACAAAACCTGTAATAATGCTAAGAATAAATGAAAGAAAAAGAACATGATACACTATAGAAGACATGAAGTCTTTAAAGGAAAGTTAAACCTTTTATTTTATAAGCATTTTTGTTGAAGTTGGGTTCTTTGGTTTGTTCAACCATGTTGTTGAGAAGTCAGTAGTGTATTGAGAACATCCTCTCTGCTGTTTTAACAAGGAGACAACTTAAAYCTTCAAAAACTGCTGTCAGTTTATGAGCTGCAGCTCCAATAAACTGCAGAAACTATTTCCAGCTTGATTTTAGGCTGACTGACAGATGGAGACACTTTACAAGCTAATTCAGCAACAAAGAGAGGTCATTTGGCAGCTGACAAATAAAAATATGTACTACTTTATATCCTGTGTGCGTGCGTGCATGCGTGCGTGCGTGCGTGCGTGCGTGTGTGTGTGTGTGTGTGTGTGTGTGTGTGCGTTCTAAAATCCTGATGTTACTCGCTTTTCTTGGAAAGTATTTTCCTGCTGTCAGTAGTAATTACATTAAAAAGCAGTACATTAATGATCAAAGTGTTTTTACATTTAACTGACATTAATCTGCTAAATAAATGCGAATCCACTGAACTCACCTCCAGCTCTAATATCCTGAACTCTAACAGTTCATTTTGGTCTCTGGAGTCTTGCAGCTCCTGCTGAAGCCGGCTGCAGTCCGACTCTAACTTTTCCACCTGAGCATCACAAAGAAGGAAATAATTCTACAGTTTAAAAACAAATTAAAATAAAAATCATTTTACATCTCACCGTGTTTGCAATGATTACTGTTAAAGCTTTACTGCACAAACTAAACCTGAGCTGTTCTGAGGAACCAGAGAAAGAAGTGCAGGCCAACCTTTTCCAACAACTCCTGATTCCTCCGTAAGAACAGCTGCTTCTCCTCAACCCATTTGGAGTCCTGAAACACAGACGATTGTACCAATTAAAGAAAATAATGCAAAATATCCAAATCTTTTAAGAGGTATTTAAAAAAATGGAACAAAAATGATACCCTTACCAAAAGACGTACACTAAGTACATGTCATTAAGTATACAATGCATATAAAAGTGTATTTCCCTAAGTGTAGTTTTGTTTACCAAGTATGCTGATATACTGTAAGTATACTAGGAGTTTACTAACAAGTATACTTCTTGGGACTAAATTGGCCGACTTTAAATTTATTAAAGTATACTCAGAAGTACACTGAAAATAATATTCTAGGTATACTATTAGTTTACTAGCAGTAAACTTTTAGTGACATTTTATTAGTTTATAAAAGTACATTTTTAAGTATAATAAAAGTAAAATAGTTCACTAAGAATACATCTCTATCATGGCCAAACATTTAAACATTAGTACAGAGTAAGTATACGCAGATTTTTGTATATTTTTAGTGCAAGCCAAGTACAGTGTAAGATAAACTTGGTTAAGTATATCTCAAATAAGTACCTAAAAATTAAACAGAAAGTAAACTTTTATTTTTTTAGTTTAAAGTTAGTATACTTAATGRATACTTGCATGTACTACTTTTTGGTAAGAGTATGTTTAAACATTCTCACTTCCACAATAATTAAATCCCTTTTAACACCACAATAAGGTTGATGGTTAGTGTATTAGTGTAAGTTATTTTTCATTCATTTTGTCCTTTGCTGTTACATTCAGATCAATAAAATGCAAACTTTAAGAGCGCAGAAATAATAAATATGRTTACAGCAAGCTCTTACACAGCAAAACTCTCCATCTAACCAGGTTTTACAAACTTTTATCCARCCAAAAATATATTTCCATCTTGTTTTGAGACCGATAAACTAAGCAAGAGCAGAATGTGTTGGATTATTAATCTTGTTAGCCTGGAAATTGTCCTTATTTCAAGTCTTATCAAATGAAACTGTCTTATTGCACTGGCAGATTATTTCACTTATTTTGAGTAGATTTGGGACTCCGATGAARCTTTTTACCTTAATTTTAGATAGATTTTAAATCCAAGGTTCATTTTTAATACTATAACAACTTAACTTTTCATTTGACATAATTTTAAGTGTTACTCTGTGGTTGAAGCCCTTTAAGAGTGACCACGGCTTATTTGTCTTAAATTACTGAATAGTCCAGCATTACACAAATCGGCTTCAAACAAAGTTTAAATTTGATAGATTTGATTCTTGTGTGAACTTGCCAAACCGGAGTAACTCCTGCGGGGTAAATGAATGTGTTAAACAGGCATCTTTAATCATCTTGTTGGAGAGCTTACCTGTCCCTTCAAGGTTAGTTCTTTCTCCAAATCCTCTATTTTGGCTTTRTACCTGAGAACATCTGCTTGAAGTTGTTCATGAGCCTAAAGCAACAACAAAGCACTCTGTTAGGACARCATCTCTAAAATCACACCAGTGTTAGTTAGGTCTACTTTGTTTTCTGGTAGAGAACTATTCTTTATTAATAGAAAATACAAATGAGGGTTTAGGCGGCACCAGTTGCACATACGGCACTTCCTTATCACACATTTGTACCTTGGCTTCAATCTCAGCATCCAGCATGCCTCCCTTCTGTTCCTGCAGCAGGGCATAGGCTCGCTGTAACGCCTGGTACTCCCGGGTCAGCTGGCGGAAACGTAACTCAGACTCTTCATTGGCAATGCCCTTTTTTGACACATGCAAACAAAAAGCCAGATGTTATGGTTTCACTGGACAAATAACACAACTGCCTCTGCTAGGTAGAAAACTGAAATTTCAGAGGTGCACGACCACGCGCCAGGACACAACGTGGGGCCAATGCGCGGGGGCGGGGACGCCGCGATTGCGTCACTTTTGATGTGAGCCCCCTCGCACCCTGTGCGTCACGTCAACTATAATCTAGGCTTGCAGGTGCGCAGTACCACGTCGGACGGAGCTGATGGAGCGGACTCGGCTACAGCTCAGAAGCAGCGAGCGAGGAGCAGCAYGAGGCGAATCAGTTCTGGGYCTTGTCGAGCTGATTGAGCGCAGCTGCGGAGGTAAAGAGACAACACGCCAACTCGGGCTGGAGCTGGTCGTTTGGGTCAACGGAGACGGCGACTGTGTGTGTGGACGTTTTGCTGTGAACTGCAAARTTCACGGGGAGMACGACAGAGGACAAGGAGGTGTCCAAACTGACCTTTGTCGAGAGGCAGATTTGGTTCTGGCCCACACAGACTCTGGTGTGGACCAGGTGGTGAGAACCTTCAACTCAAAAACTCCTAGACACATAAACAATAAATGCCTTTTAAGGTTTAAAAATGGCTGCCTTRTGTCGTGCTTCTTATTATGTTGCGGCTTTGAGAGCTGGGGTCGTAACAATATTCTGAGGATAAAAGGTGCAGACATAATAAGATTTATTCTTCTTCTGCTACCTTTCATTTTATGTTGATTTGTGTATTTTCTTGGTTTATTTTTTTATTGTATATAGTTATTTTTTTAATGAAATGAATAAATTTTTGAAAATAATCTATCTAGTCGTTTTCCTTTTCTGAGTTGTGGGGTAGTGCCTATATCCAATGGTCATTTAGTGTTATTGAATAACCTAACATGCCTGTTTTTGATTTGAAAGTGTTTGCAAATTGTGCACAGAGAGGTCCCAGAAGGACTGCGATCCTGAAAATCATAACTCTTACCACGCCCATGTCTTCATCAGGAGTAGCCGGGGTTCTGTCCATGCGGAATGAAGCCACTGAGGACGTCTCAGAATCCATAGACTCTTCATCGTACCCAAAAAATGTGTCTACAACAATGTGTCTCTGCAGAAAATAAARCAAGTTTTAGTTTTCATGTTTCATCAACTTTAATGCAAATTTCTCAACATCTCTTTCTTRCAATATATAGTATTTGGCCTTTATTCTTATATCTATTAAATCAAACAAATCTTCACAGTGACAATAGTACAATTCAGTTCTTTATGAACGGACCTTCCTGAGATATTGCTTCCTTAAACCATCTTGTTAAATTAGTGGTGTTGTCATAATATTATTATAATAACGGCATTGTAACAGACAAATTCTATTTACCTTTATTGGCCTCGAACTTCTTTTATGCCTTTTCTTCCTAAGTAGTTTCTCACGATCCTGGATGGAGTCACAGTAAAAAGACAAATGAGGCAACATGACAATGTGACAAAATGTTGTTGCAAACAATTCCAAAATGTCTGTGTTTTTTTCTTTGAAACTGAAATTAACTATATTAATTAGTTGCTTATGTGTTGTTTTTCACACTGATGTGTTTCTCATCATTGTAATGCCCAGCTTTTTTTTTCATTTCAGTGTAAAAAAACCAAGAAATATGCTTTTGTGTGTGTGTGTGTGTGTGTGTGTGTGTGTGTGTGTGTGTGTGTGTGTGTGTGTGNGTGTGTGTGTGTGTGTGTGTGTGTGTGTGTGTGTGTGTGTGTTTGGGGGGCCAGGCACATTCGATTTTATGCCACAGTCAAGTAACTATGTTACCCTCAGTCGTTATGAAAAAGCTGTATATATCAAAAATAAATGTCTCTGTCTCTTTAAGAAATTCCTACCATTTTTAACACTTTCACTTCAGTACGTCTTCCAAACAATGTTCTGGGGGACGGTTGCTCTGTGGGGTAGGAGCTCAGCTGCAGACTGAGCTCCACGGGGAGCTTTGCGTAAATGGGTGTTGCTTTATATCTGCACGTTTATGCATAATGTTTTTCTGTATTTTAAATTGATTTTACTGTCTATATTTATGTTTTGCTCAACTGTTTTATTCATTTGGCTTTATTGTGAAGCACTTTGGCCAACTTCTGTTTTTTTATGTGCTATATAAATAAAATTGACATTGATATTGACATAAAGCATGGAAAAGTCAGGTTTTGCATAACGACCCCTCCCCCTTATAAGTATGTTATTTGCCTCCCAAATTTACTGTTTTCTTAAGCAAAATATAAAAAACTATGCTTTGCAATCTAAGATGCATCCGTAACGCCTCTGATGTTTTTCTTTAGTTTGAAAACTCCTCTGTAAATCTTGTCAGTTGTCATTTTGCTGTTCTAAAACAAGAAATAAAAAAGCAAACAGTGAATCTGAAGACCCTCCAACTCATACTTCAGTTTAAATGGGACCCTCARTCAGAAAATATTTGTCACAAATGTGTTTCACCTCGGTGACCTTTGTGCCATAGCGCTGCACAATCACAAAGAATTTTCATAACCTATGACACAAAAATCGCWGATACAAAAAAAAAAACTTTGAACAAACGTACTCTTGTCAGCTCATCAATCATACTCTGTTGCTCCAGGACCTGAAGTTTTAGAAAAGCAATTTCCTGGTCATCGTGGGCTTGGTCCAGGTCATTCAGGGACTTCAGCTTCTTCAGAGGAGGATGGGAGCTTATCCTCTCCTTCTGTACGTAAAGATAAGGAGAGACATMAGCTGCTAATCAGCCTACAGATCCAGTGAGAAGATAGTTTGACTATGCWCTAACCATTTCAAGGTTTTCCTTCATCAGGCTCTTCAGTTTCTCCTCCAGCTTCTGGATAGTCTGAGTTAAATCATCATTCCTTTTATTCAGCAGCTTGTTTTTATCCAGCAGGGGTTTGCAGTGCTTTTCTGACTCCCGAACTCGCTTCAGCTGTTGGAGGGAAAAGTTCACATTAAATGTCTGAATAAAAGATAACAGACTGAAGCAAGTAGGTTTGAGCTAAAAGACAACACGTTAAAAAAAAGAACAAATAGATTTTGTTTATTATTATTCGTAACAATTGATTTGAACGTACCAGTTCGTTTCTCTCCTCAACCAGCAGAGCGTTGCGGTCCTCTAATTTGCGAATGGTTGAGTTGAGTTCAGCAACTCGCCTCTGATTTCTCCTCATGTCCTGAAACAAACAAAAACAACAACTATGGCTGATTTGCTTAAGTTTTTATTTGCCGTCTTTAGCTTCACAAAGGTCAAACACAAGTTAACTGTTTTAATCTGAGGGCTTATTCTGTTTTTGGTGTGTGACAGTAAAGTGATTATTTAGAACGACTCACTCCCAGAGTAGAAAGCAGAGTTTTATAAGATAGTCAAACCATGAAAAACTTATGGCTTGTTTGTTTGTGCTGAATGCACTGCTGGACTCGGTAAAAAAAAAAAAGGGGGAAAAAAAACCCCGACTCGCTCCCAGAGCCGACACCAGGAAGTAGAATTTTATAAAGATAGTCATTCCGTGAAAAACTCATGAATGGAAATTAAACAGACGCAGTGCACGAAGGAATCTGACTGATAAAAACTGTGGTGCAAAACCAGGACAGATGTGGATAAATACGTCGGGTGAGTGACGAGTATGACTTTTTTTTTTTTGCATTATCGGCTGTTGCGGGGGAACTCCATGCAGTGACGTATGTTTCAGGGAGGGGGGGTTTCCCGAACTCGGCGCGAGGGTGTCGTACAATTATGAAAGGTCTGCGCGAAAATGACTGCCGAACAACCACGTGACCGCGCGTCGACCCGTCGGCGTCRGAGCGAGTWTGTTTCARGCTTTAGAACATGAAAYACTTCAGCTGCCTTTAAAACACACAACAAAAAAGTAAGTCCATTTCATGTTGATTCAAGCTGCTGAAATGACTAAATGTAATTGTATTTATCTTTGTGTGTTTTAGCTCCCTGGAAGTGGAGTTTTTTGTTTGAGGTGTTTATTTTGTGTATGAGTTTTTTTATAGGTGTGGTTTTTGTTTGTGAGTGTTTTGTTTTCTTCCTTGGAATCTGTCAAGTATCACCTTGACCWGCACCAAGCCTCGCACTTGTAAAGACAAGTCAACCTTATTTTTRTGTGGAGTCAAGTCTCCTGAACTTTTGCTTGTTAGCCAAGCCTGAACTTTTGAAKAACAGTGGTTTTAACACCACACATGGACACTGGGGGGAAAGGGGATATATTTTGTATTGTATTGTTTTGTATTAGTATTTTTTATTGTTTGTAAATAACATATTTTGAAAAGTAAGACTCCATTGTTTGTGTTCACTTTATTTAAACTTTTTTGTCACTTCTTGTTTAAGGTTAAAAGGGTATGTATTTTTTTTCTAGAATTGTACATGTCCTTGTGTGACCGGTTAAAATAAAATGACTCTAAACCATATATTAAAACTAACAGTTAAAACACCATCAGCTAGTTAAAACATCCTACATGTCAGGAGGGAGACCTGTCTGGCGCCCAATTAAATTTTTCAAATTAATAACAATAAACAGCATTAAAAACGGTACCGTCACAAGTGTGTATCGAGGTTTGTGGCATCATGTTTCAGTAAMTGTAAACCCACTAAAACCAACTGATTAGGGACTAAATAAGTAAGCTSTGACTTGAATTTTGTTTAAAATAAATAATAGAAAAATCATCTGGTTATTGAGACTACTTACAGGACTCCCACAGTGCTCTGCYCCGTCTCCAGCTCTGCCTGGAATCTCGCGTTTCGGACTTCCCAAGCCGCACTCAGCCTCCTTGACGAGGAACAGTTGTTCATCCAAGGCGTCCTTCTGAAGCTGCAGCTTCTGTAGGCAGCCCGCTGTCGACTCCAACTCCTTCTCTAGAGCAAAAATGGTGCGGTCTTTGGATTTGATTTCATCAACCTATCAGGGAGAAGAAAGAAGAGGTTATAATTAATATTTAAAATAATTTAAAAGTGTCTGGTGTTCAGACGTTTGGCTGTGCCCACCAGTCTGCGGATGTCCTTCTCACAGTCCCACTTGATCTTGGAGATTTGCTCCTGATGCTGCTGGTGCTCCACCCGCAGGTCTCCGGCCTTCATCTTGTCTGCCTGGATCATGTTGCTCAGAGCTTCATCCGTCTGCTTCTTGGCATTCTTCAGCTCCACTATTTCCTGCAGGAGCTTCACTCTCTCCTGGTCAAAGAAGCGGCGCGCGTCCTCTTTGGCTTCAAGAGTCAGTGCCGTGCGCACCTGGAGAGGAGATCATATAACGAGGCAAAGTCCTGAAAACGGACCAAGCTTTGGAAAGTTTTAGGGAATTGATTTATTTTTTTAACCTCACCTTTTCCCCACTGCCGTCCCGCATGGCGTTGAGGGCCGCTTTCAGCCTCTGATTCTCCTGATCTTTGATTTTGGCGTGGCGGGCCAGCTCCTGCTCATGCTGCCGGGTCAGGTTCTCCCTGAGCGCCTGCAGCTCCTTTTGCTTTTCCTCGTGCCACTTGGCGCGCTGCTCCGTTAGCATGGCGGTGTGCCGATGCTGCTCCTGCTCTCGCGCCCGCTTCACCTCCTGCACCTTGTCGCGCTCCAACTTGCTCACCTTTTGAAAGGAGCAAAAAGCATGAAAGGAGTTGTGTTATATATTTGACACAAATATTTTAACTTCTCAAAAACATTCATGAATACCTTGCATTTCTCTTGGTGCAGCTCGATCTGAATATCAGTAAGTTTGGACCTGAGATCTTCATTGGCAGCCTGTAAGGCAGAAATAAGCGCTTCGGGCTTCTCGCCCTTGGTACGGCTTTTCTTAGCCATTGATTGAAACACTAAAGAGGGTCTTCTGATGCTTTCATTGAGACTTCAGAGAAACTTTCCAGGATTTCCAGTTCCTCCTCCTCCTCATTCTCCTGTTAAACACAAGGGCTAGAGGAAAAGAGAAAAGAAMMAAKWRG